GGGAGGGGTGGGTCTTTTGCCCAGTAGTCTGGCTGCCCTGGTGGGGGTTTGGAGGAGTTTCAGGGCTTGACTGGTGGTGGTCAAACAGGCCCAGTGCCTTAAGAGGCTGCCCGGGCCTCCTGTGGCCATCTTTGTCTGCTGGGGTCCTGCAGGTGCCACCTTGTTCTTGGCACTGGGTTGAGGAGATACAGAGGTGAGTGTAGGCTTCTTGCGGGGGCCAAGGAGGCAGAGCGCCAGCCCCTGAAGGCTTCTTGAAGGGTGCAGCTCTGTGCTGGGTCCTGGAGGTGGGCAGGGTGTTACCCAGGAAGGTGTGCTGTGTGAGGACACGGGATGCAACAGTCCAGAGGTTATAGAGGGCAGGGCATGTCCCTGGAAGGGTGAGCAGCCCTATTTCGGGGTGGTCTGGAAGGGAAGTGAATCTGGGGAGAGGGCTGTCCAAATGTGACAGGAAGCTAGGGAGTTGGGACTGTAGAGCCATGGGAGGTTTGGGAGCAAGGGAGGGGGCTCAGAAGGGGACCTGAAAGCTGTGCGGAGGGTCCAAGAGTGGAGGCAGAGAGCAGTGTGGAGGCCACCAGCCTGGGAGGCTTGGTGGGGAGGAGGGGTAGGTGCTGATGAGAGGGTCATTGCAGAGGGAGTGCTTCTGGACTGGGAGGCCATTCGGGTTTGGGGTTTCTGGAGAGACATGCACTCACGGTTCCCACTCAGGGGAAGGGGGCCAGGAACGCTGAGCGGGGAGATTGGGGGCAGAAGGACCCTGGGCTGGGTGTGCAGCCATGACCAAGAGGGGACTCTGTTCCCCAGTCCATTCTGTCAGGCACTGTACTAGACTCCTGGCATATAACACGGGAGGCACAGGCAGGATCCCGGGCTGCAGAAGCGGACTTTCTAGCAGTGGGACACCACCAACAAACAGTGGTAGCGACTGAGTAAATGACATAGTTTGAGGCCCTAGGTGCTGTGGGAAGAGAAAGGATAGCCTGTGAGTTCTTGCCATGCTGGTAGGAAAGCTGGCACAGGCCTGATTGGAGTGTGTGAGGGTGAGGTGCCTGGATGCCAGCCCCGTCGGCCCTAAGGAGCAGGGCCTGGTATGACCCTGCTGACTCAGCCCTGAAGGCAGCAGGAGACTGGAGCTTTGTTCTTGCTCTGCCCCTGACTCAATGTGTGACCTTGGGCCTCAGTTTTCCCATCCGTCAATTGGTCGGTGGTCCCATATGTGCTTAGGAGCCCTCAAGGACTCTGGCCAGGTACTGACTCATGTTCTCTTCCATGCTCTGGGTCTCCATGCTCAGCTTGCTCTGGTGGAAATTATTCATTGCTTTCAAAGGAGTGTGAAAAACATTACACTCCAGATCCCCAGGGCTCCTCATCACTGAGTAAAGTGTAAGTAAAGCCCAGGAGCCTGGCAGACTGAGGATGGAGAGGGGAGGGGAGAGGTGGGGGAAGGCTGTGTGAGAGGGGTTGCCAGGCATCCCCCACCAGGGCTGCTTCCTGACCCTCCTAAATGGGGCTGAGGCCTCCCTGCAAGGCCTCCACGAGGGCTCAGTGAGATGGTGCAGCAACAGGCACAGCCCAGAGCTGGTCAGTATCACCTCCCCCAGGGGGCTCATTCCCATTCCTGCTGCAGCGCCAGACCCCCAGGGAGGCACTCACCTTCCCATTGAGTCCTCTTTAGCCCTCACATCAGTCCTGCCCCGTATGTGTGAAGAGGCCCATTTTACAGATGAGGACTGTGAGGCTCAGGCTTGCCATGCTGGTAGGAAAGCCGGCACACGGACCCAGCACTCTCTGGAATGTGAGAGGCTCCAGTGGTGTTCATCCTCAGTCATTAAATCTCTCTCTCTCTCCCCAAAATGTCTGTCACCAGAGGAATAGTCACATAAGGCACAGTTGAGGCGCATGAAGGAACCAGGCCCTGAATCAGATAATTCCACTTCTCAGTGCTCAACTCCCCAGTTGTTCCATTACATTTAGGATAAAATCCAGACGTGTCAATGGCTGGAGTGAGGGAGTGAGGAGAGTGATCTGACCCAGGCAGGCCCTCAGGAGCGTGATAAGGATTTGATTTTTTATTTTAAGGGTGCTTGGGAGCTGCTTAAGGGTTTTAAGCAGAATTTATTTTACAAATAGCCCATTGGTTGCTGGTGGTGGCTAATAGCCCGTTGGAGGAGTGGTGGGTGGGAAGCAAGGAGGAACTTGGGAAGACCTGCTGGGGATCGTTGAGGTGGGATGGCTCGGCCGAGTGGGAGCTGTGGAGCTGAGAAGCAGGTTGGGGGACTCCAGGATGGCTCTGGATTTTCTGGCTTGAGCACAGAGGGGATGTGGTGGCATTTGTGAAGGGGAGACAGAAGAAGAGGGTTTTAAGGGAGATGATGAACTTGGAGGGGAGTCCGAAGCTGGAGTGTCCCTGGCATGTGGGCTGAGATGGCAAAGGGACAGAGGGAGAAGAGAGGTTTAGGTGGCGAGGAGGACAGGAGCAGCCGGAGGAGGGGAGGAGCCAGCGGTGTGGACAGTGGTTCATGGTAGACATGGTTCGGGATAGACTGGGAGAGCGAGGATAGACTTGACCTTTGGAGGCGGAAACGCGGGCGCATTGATGGGTATGGTTTGGCGGTCTCCAGACTGGTGTGGGCTTGAGGAAACGAGAAAACGGAGGCAGGGCCTCTGCTCCCTTCGTTCTGGAACCATCTCCATGACGTATCAGAAGTGGCCCACAGGAGACCAGGAAGCATGCCAGCTGAACGCAGCTTCAGTTCCTGGACTGGATCCTGGAACAGAGGAAGGGTGTCGGTGCGAAAAGTGCTGAAATCCAAATAAAGCCTGGAGTTTAGTCAGTAGTGCTATACTGATGTTAATTCTTAGTTTTGGTAGATGTTCTGTGCTTATGCAAGATGTAAATAGTGGAGGAAGCCGGGCGAAGGGTACATGGGAATCTCTGCACTGTCTTTACAACTCTGTAAATCTAAAGATATTCTTAAAATAAAACGCTAAAAAGGTCAAAGCAGGTGAGGAAATAGCATAGAAAGTAGACTCTAGTTTTGTCATCTTGATGCATCCATACGTGTCATATGTGTGCACATGTGTCATGTGTCAGATGAGCCAACAAAGATTTGGAAGGATGCAGATTGAGGCTTTGGGATTCAGGTGATGGCTGCTTTCTAATTTACAGCTTTATGTATTTTCTGATTTTTGTTTTACAAAGAGTAAAAATAGTCATAATGTTTATGACTAGAAAAAAAGGCTTTTTTACTTTTTAAAATCTGGAAAAATAAAATAGAATGTTCCCCTGGCCCTGTGCCTTCCCCACCTGCTCTGGTCTCCCCAGTGAGTCAACCTCATCAAGTCAATGAGCTGTTCTCCAGAAGACCTAGCTTTGGGGATTGTTGGTGGGGCTCTGCGAGTGGAGCACAGAGAAGCCTCAGGGACACCCCCAGTCCCCATCATACCACCCGACACCCTTTCCAGAGCAAGAACTGAGGCGGGCACACGCGGGGTGCTGGGAACTCAGTGTTCCTTCTCTATTTGGAGACTGGGAGACAGATTGCAGCCTGGTGAAAGGAACAGACTTCAGTGACCCAATGAGGAGGGGTGTTTCCTGTTCCCCGGGAGCTACAGTGCCTGGACGGGGGTCTTCATTAAGGGCAGTTGGACACTTTAAAGCCTTTCCAGCTCAGGCTCGGGGGCCTGGGAGTCTGTGTTCTCATTGTCTCCTGTCCCCCTCTGGCCATAGGCATCTCTGGGAAGAGCCAGATCCTTTTCGCTCTCGTCTTCACCACCAGGTACCTGGACCTGTTCACCAACTTCATCTCCATCTACAACACAGTCATGAAGGTGGGTGAGGGGGATGGGAGCCCGTGGGGAGGGCCTGCTGAGGCCCCCCACACCATGGGACATTACACTTGGGAACTCGGGCTGTGGAGCCAGGCACACCTGGTTTGAGTCCCGTCTTTAGGGAAGAAAGGCTGCATGGGAGGGAATCCTACCTATCTTGCAGGGCCAGCGAGGATTCCATGAGATAAGATATGTAAAGTGCCTAATACCCACAAGATATTTAACCAAAGCGAGCTCTCTTTCTTCTCCACATCAGAGATGTCCCTTTGAGACTCCAGGCGTCTTGTCTCTAGGGTTGGTGGGAGGGTGCTGTTGTTACCTGTGGGGTGTGAACTTCAGTCAGGTCCCAAAATCAGTCTAGTTAAATTCCACACGCAAGTGGCGCACAGCACCTGCTCGCTCAGCTCACTCCCTGCCCGAGGGCCTGGCTTGCGCACTGCAGACCCAGCCCCGGGCTAGATGGAAGGTCTAGGAACAGCCAAGAGGTCGGTTTCCACATCTTTCCACTTCGATTCACTCACTCATCGCTGGGCCCTGAGTTCGGGGCTGGGAATTCAGAAGTGAACAGAACATGGTCCCTCTTATAGGAATCCCCTCATCGGGGAGACATTATTACACAATTTACAGAACATGTGACCATGGGTAGCAGTGAGATTCTTACATAGGGCGCCATGGTGACAGAGTATGTGTGCCTCATTCTGGTGAGAAAAGACTTCGAGGAAATAATCTATAACTTGAGTTTTTAAGTACAAATAATTATTTAGGCCAGTGTAGACCCGGACCAGCAGCATTAGCATCACATAGAAACTTGCTAGAAATTTAAATCCTCAGGCCTGCTCAGACCTACTGCAGCAGAAACTGGGGGCAGGGCAAGCGGCAGTCACCTATGTGATTGTGATGCACATTCAAGTTTGAGAACCTCTGGCCTAGAAAGTGTGAGAGGCCAGATCTACAATCATACACTGAAAGGCAGCTATTAATTAGAAAAAGAGAGCTTTTCTGAAGGAGCAGTGATCAACTGATTCAAGGGGTGTTAGTCCTTGCAGAAGGATGCTCACAAGTCACTGATGTGAACCTAGGAAATTGAGGTTTTAAAAGTGCCCTGGGTGCGGCCGGTGGTGCTCAGTGGTTGCGTGTGGATCCATTCATGGAAAGGTTTGCTGGTTCATTTCCTGGTCAGGGCACATGCCCGGGTTGCGGGCTTGATCTCCAGTAGGGGGCGTACAGGAGGCAGACACTTGATGTTTCTCTCTCCCCCTTTTCCCTCTCCCTTCCTAAAAATCAATAAAAACATATTTTAAAAAATTAAATAAAGTGCCCTGGAATGCCACTGCTAAATCCTGCCACGAAGACTAAGCCTGGCCTTTTGCCTAATGCTTTACTGGGCACCTTTGAGTCCTCACGGCAGCACTATCATCCCAATTAGAAGCACAATTACTTAACAAAGGGGCATCAGCTTCAGGTTCTAGACTACTGGACCTAAGAGAAACTGCGAACACGGTTCACCTCTTCCCCCTTACGGCAGGCAGAGCACTAGCCATCAGGCTTGGTAGGTCCCAACTCAGGGTGGCTTTGAAGCCCAGTAAATAGGTTGGGAAAAGGCTTCATCAACTCCCAAGTGTCTGTCTTTTTAGGTGGTTTTTCTCCTCTGCGCCTATGTCACAGTGTACATGATCTACGGGAAATTTCGGAAAACGTTTGACAGTGAGAATGATACGTTCCGCCTGGAGTTTCTTCTGGTCCCAGTCATTGGCCTCTCCTTCCTTGAGAACTATAGTTTCACTCCCCTGGAGGTAAGGAAAGGGCCCCAGGAGACTTAATTCTCAAAGGCGAACATGCTCCCTAACATCATGCCCTGTGGACCTCGTAATGTCTGGGCTTCTTTGTTACAACCGTGACTGCCACTCATATTGTTCAGCTAGTTTAGAAATGAGCAACAAGCTGTCCGTACTGCTCCAGTTGAAAACGGGCACACCTGAACAGTGATGTTCATGCACAAAGTGTCACGGCACCACTTAGGCTCCTGAGACCTGTCCAACAGGTGATTAGCGGACACCAGAGCGCAGTCCAGGCTGATTTCAACTCGGTAGGTCTGAGCTGTGGCCCAACAGTCTGTGGGGCGACAAGCACCTCAGGAGATTCTGATGCTAGTGTTCTCGGACTGTATTTTGAAAAACCATGGCCTCAATTAAGGCGAGTTTATACAATAAAACTCTGCAATTAAAAATGCGTTGTAGAAATGTTCATGCTGTTGTGAAAATAGCATGCTTCTTTAGAGGTGGAATGATATTCAGATTAAAATAGTAAAAATTGCCTGGCCGAGTGTGGCTCAGCAGTTGAGCATCAACCTAGGATGCAGGCAATTGGGGTTCGATACCCTGTCAGGGCACATGCCCGGGTTGCAGGCCCGATCCCCTGTGGGGGACGTACAGGGAGCAGCTGATCGACGACTCTCTCATCATTGATGTCTCTCCCCCCCCATCTCCTTTCCTCTCTGAAATCAATATATATTTAAAAATAAAATAAAAATTAAGAACATTTTTACTTCACTGTACTCTCTCCAGTGAACACGTTTTAGTGATTCTTTTAAACAAATGGACCCTTCTTGATCTTGACCAACCTCCTCTGACCACTTATCTCCTTGGCTCAGATCCTCTGGACTTTCTCCATCTACCTGGAATCAGTGGCCATCCTGCCCCAGCTCTTCATGATCAGCAAGACAGGAGAGGCCGAGACCATTACTACTCACTACCTGTTCTTTCTGGGGCTGTACCGGGCACTCTACCTAGCCAACTGGATCAGGCGGTACCAGACTGAGAATTTCTACGACCAAATTGCAGTGGTATCTGGAGTGGTGCAAACCATCTTCTACTGTGACTTCTTCTACTTGTATGTGACCAAAGGTAGGTGCTGGGAGGACAGTGTTGTTGGCACCAGCCCAGAGGCACTTACCCATTTAATATTTGAGGGCAAACGGCAGTGTGAACAAAGGCAAATCTCTGCCCCTCATGGGGCTTATTCTAATGGCAAAAGACAAACCCAAGTATTTTCAGGAAATGGTGCTATATAGTCCAAATGGGACGTACTATATGCACAATGCTCACATTGTGCACAGGGAAGGCCGATATGAGGTAACACAGTTTAGGGAAATAGAAACCACTCCAGAGAAGGGCCTACATGTAAGCCCTAAGGCAGGCAGCAGCTTGGTGTGGACAAAAAGGCTGGCGTGGTCCACATCTATGAACAGATGCTGGAGGCCGAGCAGGGCGGTATAGGCCAGAGTGAGGGGTCTGCAGTGCGCTCTGATCGCAAGGGCTGCCGTTGGAAATCATTTATACAACAAACCCACCAACAGCCAAAGCGTAGTTACAGGGGAGTCGCAGTGGTTCGGAAGAGGTCATCAGTGGAGAGAGGTGGACAGATCTCTTGGGGGCAGAGTTGAGGGACTGCCTGAGGTGTGGGCTAAAGGAATCGGGTGCTAAACTTAAGGCCTAAGGGGGCCGTGGTGGTGATAGCAGCAACCAAGATGGGGTCAAGTGAGTCTGTAGTTAACTTGTAGTGAAGTTTCCCCTTTGGCTTTTTCATCTGAACAGCTCTGAACTGGGCATTAAACTATTTGCACAAAGTTATAAAGGAGTCCTCTCTTCAGTACAGTTAACTTTTTTTTTTCTCTAAAGAATTTTAATATTCTGTATCTCTATTTTCTTCTAGTCCTAAAAGGAAAGAAGTTAAGTCTTCCAATGCCAATTTGAGGGCCCTCAGGGAACAAGGACATGAAGCCAACTGAGATGTTCTACTGAGCGACTCTTACGTGACTCAGACCAGTGTTAAAATTAAAGCCAGAAAAATGCTCAGTGTGGATGGATTTCGGCAAAGCACTGGTCATTTTATCTAGAAGACCTCACCAATATCTCCTTTATAGAGGTATTGAAAAATCCGGGCCAATTACACAAAAATGGTGCCATACAGCATCAACAGGAGCATTAAGAAACCTTAGGTGCCTAACTCACGAATGGGTCAAATAAACTACTGTTCCCTAAGGCCCTAGCGTGAGACTGCGCCAAAGCCAATCCCAGTTGGGAAGGATGTCCTTCTGAGTACAAGGCAAACAAGTCACCAGCTCCGGCAAGACTTAAGCAGTCTCACGCCTGACCTTTAAAATCAACTCGAGTCTTACTGTGGCTCAGAGTAGTTCCACACTCAGTACTTTAAGTAACAATCCTAGGTGAGTACCATTAGCATGATGACCATTTTACTGATGAGAAAACATACCCAAGCCTTTACCTACTAGGTCGTTTTATTGCTTTGTGACTTGATTTTTTTGTATTAACATCAATCAGTCCCAACTCCTTTTCACATTTTTAGGTGCTAACTAAGGCAATTTCCAACATCCCCAACCCTGATCTTGAAGCAAATAAGAACCTTATGTAAGAGGACTACCATTGGACTACAGTCAGAATTTTTAAGTAATAAAAAGCTCACACCTTATTGTCAACAGTGTTTATTTATACCTACAAAAGAAAACAAGATGGTATCAAAAAGGACAACTTACAAACTAAGAATAGTAACATAGCTCTTAGCATCCTGTGCCTGAACATCACACATCTACAAATCTTTCAAGTCTTAATGCAACAGGAATGTGTTCAGAGACCAGCAAGGACATGAATAGAGAGCACTGATCCCAAGCAAAAGCCACCAACCTTTCAGATGAGAGAAGTCCACACAATGAATTGTTGGGGAGGGACTGGGGTGAAGCAGCCCCATAGCTTAATATTGAAATCCTTTCCCTAAATGAGTTTTAACCATGACCGCAATACTTAGCATCAAATGAGATCTCATTTGCTCATGTTCTGAAGTAAAGACAGAACCTGAATTATGAGCGACAGACATGGAGGCAGAAGTGTTACTCCAGAGCTATAGAAAAAACTCTGCTAGATTCCAGCTGTGCTCAGGCCACAACAGCTTTTGAGATTTGGAACATGCTGTTATTTTGACTATGTGGTTACAACATCCCTGGTGGAAAAAGGGAGGCAAGCAGCAAACTATTGCTTGCTTGCCCAGAGACCTTTCCTAAAAGGGGACGCTTCTCAGACCTGCAAGTGAGTATGACAGCCCCTCTGGTGGCACCTGTTTAAAAAAAATAAATAAATCAGAATTTTGGTGTAGAAGTGTCCACAATGGACTGGTCAGTACTTAAACAAAAAATAATTTTTCTGGGGGGAGAGAACACTTTGGTTTAAAAGCACAGAGCAGTTTTGCCACATTTTTCCTGTGCCTACTTTACTCTTTCAGCCTCAACTTCTATAAGGGGGAAAAAAGAAGTTAAGAAAGAAGAAGGGGGAGGATGTCAAAGTTCTCACATGCACATATTTCAACTTATGCTGACAACCTACCTGTATGTTGCACAGTCAACCATACTTTCAGAACCCCTCAGAAACAATCCCTTCTCTCTCCCTTAAGAATTTCAAAAGGAAAACAAAAAACCTCAAGTATTTAGATATTTGGATCTTACAAACCAGTAAACACCTTAGCCAAAGAATGCAGTGGAGCCTTCCCCCTTTAACTACATTGTGAATGAACAATACTGATGACATTAAGTCTCACACTAGATATGGCAGAAGTTTCTGAGTCTGTCTGATCTCCCTGTCCTGTTCCAGTGAACATGAGAGCAGAAAATCCTTTCGAGGCCTGTTATAGGTACAACAGTCAACATTACTATGAAAGGGACAAACTCACCTACCTTCAGATGGAGGAAAAGTAAAAGGACTTATGGTTTAGTCCTCTGTAACTTTTCTTAAGCACTACCTACCTGTAAAAAGCTGAGTGCAAAAGGATGCAGGAAAACTTGCACCCAAAAGCTGTTACAAAGCACTGCAGAGAACACAGTATGAAGAAAGAGGTCTTTCTTAATAAACCCTTAAGATTCTTTATTCAAGATAACTTGGCCAAAAGGGCTTAGCGGGCAGAGTTGCTTTTATTGACCTCTACAGAGTTAAAAAAAAAAAAAATTGCCCACTGAGTATATTGCTTATAATTAAAGGTGGTTTTTACACTGCAGGTGAATGCAATTAACTGGTTAATAAAAGTAAATTTTCAGTGAGCATTTATGTTCATTCTGCTCACAGCTGTCCTATTGAAAAATGAATTTCACAGATGGTCCCTGTTTGTACGGGGAAGAAAAATAGGCAGCTTCCACCCAGATGCTGAGATGCTACATTTAACCATTGCAATAAACACTTGGGGTTTTCAATTTAAAATACTCAAACTTGGCAATTCAATTTCTAACCTGACACTAAAATGATTATTTTTCAGTCACTGGGAAGGGGGAGGGCAGAGTGTAAAGAAAACCAACAAGGAATTTTTCAAAACTGCGAATGCACTCAAAAAGCTAATCAGCCAAAACAACAATGGCAAAGCACTGTCTTAAAAACTCATCAGGCCTGTTCCAGCTTGGGAAACATTAGAAAAGCATTATAGAAAATGTGCAGGGAACTCCCTTGGTTTTCTAACTCAGTAATGAGAGCAACTGAAAGCACAGATGCCATCTTCTTCTGCAGAGTCCAACCCTTTACCCTCCCCACCCACTCCCAACTCAGGACAACGAAAGGGCTCCCCCATGGGGCCTAATACCTTGCTTTTCCTTTAAAGATGAAAAATAGCTCAAATATCCTCAACATGCAAGAAATCGGGGAGAGAAAAACCTCTGCCAGTCGGCTATATATATATTTTTTACAAAATCTATTATTACAGACTGGATCAATTTGGCGGGCAGAAGAAACCTGGCAGTGAATTCTAACTAATCTGCATAAAAGACAAACCACAATGGTTGGGGGGGGAAATTAAAAAAGAGAGGGGGAACAGAAAAAAAGGGAAAGACAGCGTTCCTTTAAATGTAGTAAGTCTGCACAAGTCACTACCACTCGAGTGGT